TGATAAATTAGGGGGTGATCATAGATATCTTACATTTTCCTTTCTCTGGTAATATGTCAAAAAATGAAAATTTAGCATAAACAGATTTTTAAAAACTTGCTACTTTGTTACCAGGCCTCTTACCCTGTTTGCTTTTCAGATGCTTCCTTTATTTGAAGCATTATAACAGGTTACATTACGTGTACATTGCGTCGATTGGTAGTCAGTATGACATAATGGCTCTGCGTTAAAGGAAATAAGAAGATAGCTTATTCTGAGCCAAAAATGAGAGAACATGGCCTGGGAACACATGTTCAAGTTACCCTGAGTGATCTGTTCCACTGTGGGAAAAGTTACATGAACTTTTAAAGGCCCAGAACAAAAGAAAGTCACAAAGCAATATATTTAGCAGCTACATTAGTGAGAGCGTCAGGCCTACAAAGTGGGAAATCTCTTCTGTAAGTTTCAGATGCTAATCTTACAGAATTGTTAGCTTTGGGGTTGGTGCAGGTTAAGGTCTGCTAAGCTTAATGATATAGTTCTTTTGTTTTGCCTAGTAGTCACAAGGATGTTAGGTCACACCAAAGCCTTTTTATTGCTGTGACAAAAGAAACAAACAAAAAAAAACAAAACCCAAGAGAAAGAACTTAAAGGGATGAAGGGTTTATTTTGGCTCATGTTTTATAGTTCTAGTTCATGGTCAGCTGGCTACTTTGCTTTGGGCCTGAGGTGAGGTGAAACATCATGTGGAGAAGGAGGCTGTCAGGTTAGGAAGCATGACCAGGAAGCAGAAGGAGGAAGGAAGGGGCCAGGGACAAAATATAGCCCCCAAGAACACACCCCTAGTGAACTACTTTGTCCAGTGAGGCCCCACATTTTAGTTTCTGCTGCCTTCCCAAACAGTACTATTAGCTGGAGATGAAGCCTTCAGCACATGACCCTGTGGGGTGACATTTCATATTCAAAACATAACAGTAATAAATGACTATTAATGGAGGCTAAAGACAGCTCAAGAGAATTTTGGCTCTAGAGCTGCAGTATTTCATCATTCCAAAATCACAAAGTTCTAGTTGGTTAAAATCTTTAGGATCTTCAGTATAGATGTGGCTTCTTTAGAGAACTTCAATTCACAGTGGTCAGTGCTGTCTCAATGCTAACCATGGTCATCCTCCAGAAGATCTTTCTTGGTCATGTTGAATTATTTCAAGATAGTTAACAGTATATAATGGTGGTTTCTTGAAATAACAATTAAACCATTCACCAGTATAATAGATACAATTTCTTAAGAAAAGTTTTGAAAGCAAACTTTACAGAGTATGTAGATGGTAGTCTTTGGAGACAAGTGGTTAAGTTCTGGAATATTGAAAAGGATGGCACGCCCACTAGAAAATAAATAACAGACAAGCAGCTTTCAAAATATTGAAAATTATTCTCTAACAATAATTGCATGTAAACTGGTGCTGTTTCTCTTTGTATTTTTTGTTAAAACCTGCCAACCCTGTGTATATGTAGTTGAAGTTGTAGTAAGTCTTATATTTACTCTTTCCTGAAAATTCAATTAATGTTAGTTCATCAAATAAACTGATAATAGACTGATAAAAGGAAAAAGAACATACAAATTTTGTTATGCTTAGGCATGGATGTAGGATGCCCCAAAAAGCAAGATGACTGAACCTCACATAGAATTTAACAAGAGAGGAGCTTAGAGTTCTGAAGAAGGGACATGCACAGACTCTGGAAGCTTGGGTTGTCTTTTTGTGCAGACGAATTCTCCCTGGTATCAGCCATCTCTGATCACCTGTCTGAACCAGGTACCAGAACTTCAATTTCTCTCTCTATAGGCAGAAAGGTACAGGAAGAGATCAGATAGAAAAGCTTCTGCCTGCATCTTCTGTTTGCTAATGTAGACATGTGCAAATATCTTAAGAGCCATTCCTGTGTCTGCAGAGGTCTGCAATTTATTTGAAGTTGGATATCTTACTTTTCTACAGTCAAGGTTTATTGACTTATAGGCCATAATAATGGTCTTCATTATAGGGCTAGGTCTACTGGGTGTTCAATTCACGGACTTAAATGATTCTTAATGAAATGATCTAACTAATTTTCTATGTGAATATATCTTGAGATAGTAGGAAGAAAATTTGTGTAAAAGTGCAAGACTTATCTTTTATAGTTATTAACTATTGCCAATACATGCAAATGTTTCTTTGTTTTTTTATCAGCTCCATCTCCAAAGTGCCAATAATTGTTTTCTAGATACTCTTAATCCAGCTCCTTTTTTCTATTTTTCGGAAACCTTACAAGCAATTCTGTTAAATTATCAGTTTATTGTGCTTCTAGGTAATTATGCGAAGTGGCCAGCCACTGACTGGCACAAATGGGAGACGGTGCAAGGAAGATGAGAAGTTGATAAATGCTACCCTGAGGGCAGGAAAACGTGGCTACATCATTGACACTCGATCTCTAAATGTGGCACAGCAAGCTAGAGCCAAAGGAGGTGGCTTTGAACAAGAAGCTCATTACCCCCAGTGGAGGCGGATCCATAAATCCATTGAGAGGTAAAGGGTTCTGGAGACAGGTGGATCCATAAGTGCATTGAGAGGTAAAGAGCTCTGGCGACAGGTGGCTCTTACTGCAGCAAGGCAGTTGAAGTGGTGAACACTTAGGGGCTCAAAAATCACAAGTGTGCAAATAAAACCTACACTTTGACTTAGGGCTAGAAGTTAGTTGCTCAAGTGGTAGAATGCCTAGCAAGTGCTAGGCCCTGAGTTCAAACTCTAGTACTGCCAAAAAATAAAAGTCATGACAGTTCTTTGTGTGTATGTTTTATTAAGGTCTAATTGACAAAATTTACATAGACTTATGATGTACAATGTGCAGTTTTGATATACCTATATATTGTGAAACGATTAAGTAAATGTAATTGACATATTCATCACCTCACATGCTTACTTTTCTGTGGTGAGAACATTTAAGGTATGCTCTCTGAGCAGTTTACTTATTCTTCCTATGACTGAAACTTTGATCACCATCATCCCAACTCCACGCCTTCCCATCCATGCCCAATAACCAACATTCTACTCTGCTTCTATGAGTTTTTTACATTCTGTATGTGAGATTCAGTGGTGTTTGTCTTTCTATTTCTGGCCTTTATTGTGTTGTATTCTTCCCATCCATAATTTATTGAGAGTTTTTTCATCATGAAAAGATGTTAAATTTTGTCAAATTTTTTTTTCGTATCTGTTGAGATTATCTTTTTTTTTTGGCTTTCATTAGTGTGGTTTGATCATATTTTTTTATTTGTGTATTTGAATCCTTGCATATAAGGGATAAATCTGCTTGAACATGGGTAATGATTCTTTCAGTGGGCCATTGAGTTTGGTTTACTAGTATTTTGTTGATGATCTTTGCATCTGTGCTCATCATGCATATTGGCCTGTAATTTTCTTTTCTTGTCATGTCCTTGCCTGGCTTTGATATCATAGTAATTCTAGTGGATAAATTTGGAAGCATTCCCTTCTCTTTAATTTTTTGGAAGCTTTGAGAAGAATTGGTATTAGTTCTTTAAATGTTTGATAGAATTCTCTTATGAAGCCTTCAGAACCTGGACTTTCCTTTGAGGGGAGGTTTTTTTTTTTTTTAATTGCTAATTCAATCTCTTGATAACTCATTACTGGTCTTCTTATTTTCCCCTTTTTTTTTTTAATGATTCAGTTTTGGTGATTTCTGTGCTTCTAGGAATTTATCCATTTTTCTAGCTTATCCAATTTGTTGGTATGTATTTGTTCATAGAAGTCTGTATGACCCTTTGTATTTCTCTGGTATCAGTTGTAATGTCTCCTCTTTCATTTCTCATTTGATTTACTTGAGTCTTCTTTCTTTTCTTTTTTTAAATTTTGTCTAGCTGAAGGTTTGTCAGTTTTATCTTTTCTAAACTCCAGTGCTTGCATGTGTGTGTTGCTAGTGATGGAAACGAGGGCTTTGTGGTATGGTGTAGATCTTGGTTGACAAACAGAACAGATTTGCTGCATATAATTATATCTTCCTATTTTAAAAAACTTTACAAGTTTACTTTTTCCCCATACCCACCTGTTTTCTCATCCCGTATCTTCCACCTATTTGGTCTGTTGTTTTACTTTCAATGAGTGCTTTGTAAGTGCTTCTGGAGTAGGTGATAGTTGGAACTAAAAAAGAGTGGGATCTGAGCTGGTGTTGGGTATCAGTGCTGAGAGCCCAGGGTGCATAGCAGGAGTAGGATTAGAGATGTAAATGGTGCTGTGTCTTGTGGCCAGTCACTAAATGCAGTGCTCTGGCCCTCTACCCTAATCAGGTGACCCAGTGTGAACTAAGTCTCACCTGTTCAGATGAGGACATTTACCATGACAGATATTTGAAGCATCTGCTTTGCAACATGTTTATTGTTTTTCTGTCTTAAGCATCAAGTTACCATATAGCAGAATAATATTTTGAACTACTTTTGTTATTGGCTATATTAGAGGCTAAGTTTTTGGTTTGGTTTTTAATCATTCATTCTACTTCATCTTTCTTTTTTTTTTTTTTTATAAACTTTTTACTTTCTTTTTCTTATTTTTAAAAGATACCACATTCTTCAGGAGAGTTTAGTCAAACTTGTGGAAGCTTGTAATGAGCAAACACATAACATGGACCGATGGCTCAGTAAGTTGGAGGCTTCCAACTGGCTTGCTCATATCAAAGAGATTCTGACAACGGCCTGCCTAGCGGCTCAGTGCATTGACAGGTAAAGTGCATCTCAGCCTTCTTGAACTGGATATGTGCTGATAACTAGAGATACATGCTTCAGAGTATGTTAAATTTTGTGCCTAGTCTATATCTTATGTCAGACCATATTATACATTTCTGTATAAGAGTCCACATCTTTCAGTTATTGATGAGATATATTCATAGTCTGGCACTTAATGGATAATGTTTGTTGAATGACTGTGAACCATGTACATACACATGTCTTCTTTGACAGTTTTTTTTAAGTAGTAAAGACCTATTTTTTTCTATAAAATCCATAAATTATGAATTTATCAATTTCCTTTTTTCTTAAACCGAAAAAGAATGAAAAGAAGTTTCTTATTTCTTCTCCCAGGGCCAGACTTAACTCCTTACTTTTGCAATATCAGTGAAAGGAAGATACAGCTTTGGTACAGTAAAATGATCTGTTCTAATCAGTCAGAGATGTTATTTACAAACCAACTTGAGCTGTGCAGTTGTATCTGGGTCTGAGCTGAGAAAGCCTGATAGCAGTAACATGCAGCATATGAAGTGATTTTAGTTTATCACTCAGTTAAAGGTTGCTAATCCCTGAGACTTGAGGCAGAAGACTTGAACAGAGGCAGCAGGATTGGTATTAATTGTTGCAGAAGCTTAGAGTGCCCTTTTTAAGAAGGGGATTCACACTGAAATCATAGGTAGGTATAAGTATTATCATCACCTAAGTGGGTGGCTCTTTTCTTTGAGACTAACTTGTTTTATTATTGCTTCCACATTAGAGAAATGTATATATGTAAATTTTTCATAGTTAGAACTTGGTAATGGAATGGGCAATACTTAAGCACTATGGTAAGTTAGTGACAGCACTGAGGACAGATGGGACCCTTGGAGTGGAGATTACCAGGCAGTCACTCCACTTTATCTTAGGTTAGGCCAGGCTCATTCAGTCACCAAAATAGGGAAACTACAGACCGGGGTTCTGTGGCCGAGATTAATAATAATGAATGACAGACTGTTAACACTGAGCTTCTTATTTCTTTTTAACCTAATCTACCAGATTTCTTCTTCCTTTATGAGTGCAGAGGCTTCTGCTTTCTTATGAAACATGAATTGTAGTGTGCATTTATTAACACGTTATCTACCTTTTCAGCCACAACAATGAGATGGTGCAGAACCCATTTCATCACTGCCCTCTTTGTTTAGTTTGGGACTTCCAAACAATCCAGAGGGGCCTGTTTGGGTTCCCTTTTCTAAAATGTATTAGCTTACTGTTTATACCTCTATCAGAATTTGACCTTATAATTGTTCAGATTATAAAAACAGACCTTAAATTAATTTTAGAATAAACAATGCATAATTAAGACACATATGCAATACATAAAAGCCTTAAAATATTTGTTCTTACTCTTCAGGAGAGTTACTAGATTTTATCCTAAGAATGAGGTTATTAACCTACCATGGGTAAAGTTCAGGTAGTCTGATGTTTTCATATTAAGAGCCCCCAAATAATTCAGCAGACATAGAAAGCTAAGTACATCATCTATAGTGTAACAAAACTTGACATAACCTAAATGTCCAACTATAAGATTAAATAAATTATAGGTCATCACTTAAGAGTATATTCTCAGCACTACTACAATAATTCTAAAGATGGCATAAAAACATGGATAAATGTTTACAACTAAAGTGAAAATAACAGGAAATTACCTTTTGATATTACTGTACAAAGTACATATGTACATGAGAAAGGAATTGGCAGTAGTTTCCAAGCATGAAATTTCCTTTTTCTAAAATTTTCTGTATTGTTGTTGCAATAAAAAGGTTGAAGAGGGGTGTAAGACTGAGGGAGTGACTCACATAGTCGTGTGCTTGCCTAGTAGGCATGAGGCCCTGAGTTCAAACCCGTCTTGCCAAAATAAAATGAAAAGGGGTACAATTAATTTAGTTTTGGTGTTTCCTTCCATTCTTTTTAGGAGAGTGGGATCACAGACAGTGTCTCATGGGACACTGGTGTCATTGCCACTGACTTCCTAGATTGACGGTTATGTGTTTTTGTTTTTAATCTATTTCCATGTTTCTCAAAGTGTGATTTAGGACTTGTTTCCCAGGTCCATTACACTTTATAAAGGTGTCCTTACAGTCAGCTGATGGTGGAGAAGTAGAATTCAAGGTCAGAGAATAGTCTTAATGAATGTTTATATGTTTCATGAGAGAAGGCTTTACTCAACTATTAAAGCAGAGAAGGTAAGTACCTTCTGTGATAAGGAATGCTATTTGGTTTTGTAAAAGGATACAAATTTAAGCTGAAAGGTATGGTGAAATTTGTTGTAACTCAGTGGCATTCTTGCCATGTGAAATTTGGGACTCATTATAATCTTATTTTTTTCCCAAGAGAACCTTTCATCCATTCAGTGCCTTATTGAGACTCTAAACCCTACAGGACAGAGCAGAATTCATAAGACTGAAATATTTTACCAAGTGTTTATTATTAGCGGAGTATTGACCATGTTAGGAGTCTCCCATTTGTGCTCTGGATTTTCCTATCAGGGAAGGAGCATCCATATTGATTCATGGAACAGAAGGAACTGATTCCACACTGCAGGTGACATCCCTCGCCCAAATCATCTTGGAACCAAGAAGCAGGACTATCCGTGGATTTGAGGCACTGGTAGAGAGAGAGTGGCTACAGGTGGGAAAAGCCATTTGATAAGAGGAATCATTGATGTTGAGATCCTGGTTTGTGGTAGCTGACATCAAAATGTGAAATTTTGATTAGTTAAAAATTTTAAATTGTGTATTTAGTTTTCTCTGGGCCAATTAATTTGCCTTTCCCTCTATGAGTGTTTAGAATCTGTACCATCTCTCAATTTCTAGATCTCTCTATATTGCTCACTTGGTACTTCATTTAAACAAACTTTGTTAGCTGTACAGGTTGAACATGAGCTGTACAGGTTGAACAATCAGAATATCAAAATGCTCCAAAATCTGATACTTTGTGAATGCCAACATCTGACCTTATGTGACACAGTGCAGTTAAAGTGCAGGGCCAGTAAAAAATATTGTATAAAATTACCTTCAGGCTATGTGTATAAATAAGGTGTGTATGAGGCATGAATGAACTTTCTTTGTGTCTGTCCCCAAGATATCTCATTATGCAAATATGAAAAAATGTGAAGCCCAGAATACTTCTGGTCCCAAGCATTTTAGACAAGGGATACTCAACTTTATACTTTGTTCCATTCAGGGGGAAAATAAAAAAAATTGTAAAACATAGTCTAGTCTCCCAAAAGCTGAGTCTTGATAGAGATAAGACAGTCGGGGAAGTGAGTAGGGGGACTGTAATTGGATGGCATTGGACTTTAGCACTTTTTCCTTAGCCTATCTTGTTCTATCATATACTCTTCCTTAACTGGTAAAATCCTCCTTATCCTTTAAGATTTAGCTAAATGTTGCTGCTCTCACAAAATCTTTGAGACCTCAGTCTCCTTCACAGATAAAATCAGTCCATTGCCTTCGTGTTGTACTTCCTGAACTAGATACCCCAAAATCACTTCTTTGAGGTCAAAGAATCATATTTGATTCATTTGTAGTGCTATCATATAATGTTGGATGGCTACTAAAATAAAGGTTTTGTAATATAGGTTGAAATTCTCCAAGTTAGAGACTAATTTATGAATCTATTTTTAATTTATAATTTAGTAGATAATTGTGATTGAAAATAAATACTTAGATACACATTGAAAGCAGAGGTATCTTGAATAAAAAAGGATTTCTGGCTCTTTTAGTTGCAATGCAAATGTGTTCTACATTAAGGATGTTATGTATACCCTGTCTACCCTACCTCACAACTCACCTTTTTGTCTGTTTAAGTTGGACCATCTACATTTGCCTTCCATGTTTGGTGAATGTCTGTTTAATTATATTCTTCCTGATGTATAGTAAGCAAGAAATGCATATGCTTTACTTATTTATATGTTACCATTTTAATGGATATGCAGATCCCATTAGTCACTGGAAAGTTTGCATTGTATTACCTTTGTTGGATAAAGTAGTATAAGGTCCCAAAGACAATGTAGGTCTGTAAGATAGCAGAGTGACTTGTTGTGAGGTCAGTACTTGGGCTCTGGGCAAGAAGGCCAGTGATTCTTTAATTTACTAAAGGCAGTAGATGGCAGACTCTTGCATTCTTTTTGAGAGAAGAGGATAATTAAGGATAGCTTTATCTCTAAAATGAAAGTACAGTATTCGCTAAGATCTCTTCCATACGTAACTAAAGATTCACTAGCAGAGCTGACCTTTAATCATTTGTTAGAGTCCCATCCGTGGCGAGGATTGTGTAGTTTGCAGCACAGTTGATAAGGTTTCTGACAGATAGAAGATGGGCCTTGTCCTTCGTTTCGTACCCGAGAGCTTATGTTCTTCATGTTGCTTCAGATTTATAGACCTGGGAAGATACCTAAATGTGTTAAGTAATTAACTTCATTATTTGTTCATTTGATGCTTCCGGGACAGTTGCAGTTTCTGTGGCCATGTCTTGACTGCTTAGCCTTGTAATGGATTTAGAACTTGTGTCTTTTTCCTTAATCGTGGAAATCAGTCAAGAAATCATCTAAAGCTACCCTAGTTTTATGATGTCCCAGTTACCGCATTGTCATTGTAATTGTGGGAATGGTGTTAATAAAATGTGCTAGGGTATGACACATTTCCATCTCCTCCCCTAGGCTGGTCACCCGTTCCATCAGCGCTGTGCACAGTCAGCCTATTGCAACAGCAAGCAGAAGTGGGAGGCGCCTGTATTTCTTCTCTTCTTGGACTGTGTGTGGCAGATACTTCGTCAGTTCCCTTGCTCTTTTGAATTTAATGAGCACTTCCTCATCATGCTCTTTGAGCATGCTTATGCCTCACAGTTTGGAACATTTCTGGGCAACAGTGAAAGTGAGAGGTAGGTTACTGCTCACATGGGGATATTTCATTTTTAGTTGTTTTGGTCTCTTCTTAAAAGAAACTAGGGCTTGGGTCTTTGTTAACGTTTTTTATAAGAAGGTAGAGTCTATAGTTAAGTACTAATTAAATTACATGGAACTCATGTAACTCACTTATTATGAGGCAGTCATATGCTAGGTGAGGGATATCCTAGGCTTTATTTTATTAGATTAAAATGAGTTTATAAACTGGTTAAAAGCTTTGAATAAGCTGAGCAAACATGTTAAATGTTAATTTATCTAGAATCATACTGTCTTACATTTGGAAGAAACCTTAACATATGATTCAACTCTGCCCTCCATCCATTTTCATAGATTTAAGAGAGTAAGAGCCAGAGAAATTAAGCGACTTGTCCAGGGACCCACAACTCGTTGATCACTAAAAGGATGCCTAGAAACAGGTCTTTCTGCTTCTGCTGACAAAGCTGACTGTCTGTTATACCTGGGAATTTTCTTCAGACCCCTAGTGATATTCTCACTTCACAACCCAGATACCATCAAGTTTATAGATTTATTTTGAACATTTACATCAGTATAATCCTTAAAGGTGCTTACGTGGTAATCTTTCTGGAGGGCATCCTATGGGTGGGCGGCAGGATTTGTCTCATTGCAGAATTTAGGTGAATAGTAAATTTAAACAACTGTTTTTTCACAAGTGAATGGAATTGTTGTATCTTCACTATTAAAGTCAAGCAGACAAAGCAATACATGTCTTACTCAGAACTGAATTGGCAAATTTTTCAACATTAGAATTCTTACAGATTTTTTTGTCTTCAGAAGTAGAAAAAAATGAACTATTTGAGTACTATAGAAAGTTCTCTGTCGTGGTGGTTTTCTCACTGTCCTTTGTGTGTAGCTGCTACAGCCACACATACATTTACTTCGATAAAAAGGTAATTGAATGGATGCAGTTGCAAAAAATGGTGCTGCTTCTTTATTCCCGTGGATTTGCTCTAAGTGTTTCCTTGGTAGTAGCATGGATTCAAGGCAGTTCTTCCTAGGCGTGTTCAAGATGAAATGTCTTTCATATTGGCATTTTGAAATTGAATCTGTAAAATCATTCAGGTAAATTTGCCCACCACTGTTTCCTTGATAACTAATGATGTTGATCATTTTTGCATGTGTTTGTTGGCTATTTTCTTCTTTAGAGAAATATTCAAATACTTTGTCCATTTTTATTTGAGTCATTTTCCTCTTTATTGTTAAAGTATAAGAGAATTTTAATAGGGATTGTATTGCATCTGTAGATAGCTTTGGGTGGTTTTGCCGTCTTAACGATCTTGTCTTCCAATCCGAAAAGGGGACGTCTTCCATTTATTTAGATCTTTAATTTCTTTCATCAACATTTTTTACTTTTGGTGTGTACCAATCTTTCACCTCCTTAGTTAAGTTTATTCCTTAGAATTTATTCCTTTGGATGCTATTGTTAATGAAATTGTTTTCTTAATTTGGTTTTTAAAGTGTTCATTGCTGGAATGTAGAAACACAACTGTTTTTTATGTGTTCTTCTACCCTGCAATTTTGCCAAATTTGTTTATTTGGCTTAATAGCTTTTTTGAAATTTGTGTGCATTCTTTGGGATTATCTATATATGATTTGGTCAGTGACAGACTGCATGTGTAGCTGTGATCCCCTAAGACTATAACAGAGCTGAAAATTCCGATTGCCTAATGATGTCATAGTGCAATGCATTATTCATGTGTTTGAGGCAATACCAGTGTCAACAAACCTACTGTGCTGACAGTTTTTTAAAACTGCGGCAATAAGATTATGTTTCATTCACCATGGCCCGGGTACTAATAAACTGTACTGAGCCTGAGGGGTGTAATAGTCTATACCAGGGGGATTGTATTTGTGCATTCATGTGTTCGCATGACAGAATCACCTAGTGACTCAGAACATATCCCCCATTGTTAAATGACATAGGACTGTATAGGATCATATTACCTGCAGATTGTTTCACTTCTTCATTTACAATTTGCATGCCTTTTCTTTTTCTAGTCTGAGGAATTTCCAGTACAGGGTTAAAGAGCAGTAGTGAAAGTGGACACCATTGTGCAAATGGTTTGTCCTAGTTTGGTTTTTTTTTTTTTTTTTTTTTTTTGGTCTTTTCAAAGA